ACTTATATCATTATGACTTCTACTTCTATCACTTTTTAAATATTCAATATCTAGGTTTCGGAAACGATTATGTTGTAAGTCAAAGACCAAAATGAACCCGGAACTTTTGATGGATGATATAGCTGAGGATAAGCCTTGTGATGTGCTGAGAGGTTCTACTAAAAACGGATGCCGTGACGTTGATAACGAAAAAATGTTAATGTGCAATACGTTGTATAACGTGCCTACAAAGAGGCCAGGACCTAATGTGCCATATACCATCCATATTTCAAATAGTTCATTCGATAATGCACTTGAGGCGGAAAAATATCCAGTGAATCAAAGTTCAAGTGCGCATGACAGAAAGAATCCATATGGCTATGAATCTGAAGAGAATCCTACATACGAAGGTTATCATGATGAAAATTCTTACCGCATTGATGATGGGATTAAATGCGACAGTGAAGGTGAAGAGGACAACCCGGCCTACGATGCTCTTCCGTTTGAAGCATCATGTCTTTACTCTTCGCCGCATGAAATGGGTGATGTTGCTAGCTCTGGTGATCTATCACAAAAAAAGACAGTCGTCAGAGCAAAGCATGTAGGTAATCTTGATAATGTAGCAGATTCGAACATAGATGCTCTGTATGCAAAACCTGACATGTCAATGTAACGTAAATACCAAATGAAAAGTCATGGCATCAGTATTCCCTCATCTGAAACAGAGAACAATTACGCTTCACCAGATAAAACAACGGATGTTGCTGAAACTGCTAATATTGTGAAGGAAAATGCCACCATTTCAGCAAATGCAGATGATCATGACTTAGTACACTCAAAGAAGGATGCCCTGTATGCAGAACCTGACTTATCCATGTAACAATACCAAGTGGAAAGTCCTACCAACAACGCTCTTTCGTCTGTAACAGAGTGTTATTCGTCACTAGATAAAATAACATCTCCGAGAAGCTCCGCGGTGCTTAATCGAGAGTATACAGTACGTATAATCTGTCTAATCACTTCGAAAAACATGGTTTTAAATCCAATTTATACAGTGTTAAAATGAATAAATAACACAATGAAAACACACTTATTTCCTTATAAATGGTCATTGACGTAGGACCTATGATAGGCCTACTGAACTACGGAAACGATCTTATTTTTCTATTTAAATGTTTAAACTGTAAGTTTGATTGTAACCTTGTGTCGAATTTTTATTTTCATGTTCCTGTGCGCAGGCTTCGTACCAATAATTTGTTAAAAGTTCCGTACTCGCGTGTTAATGTTTGTACTAATGGTATTTTTCGTCGTGTTGCACTTTCTTATAATAATCTAGTCCAAATTTTTCCTAATATTGATATTTTTAATTTTAATATTTCTATTTTTAATCTTATACTAAATACCGGTTTTTAATATATTATTACAATTTTTTTTAATGCTTTTTATGTTTTTTTTTTATATATTTTTATGAATGATATTGTATATTTTTATGGCGACTCTGTTATTGGTGTTTTTGATACACTGTTGAGTTTTGAATAAATAAATAAATAAATACGTAACATGTTAACAGGCATGGAAAGCGGCACGCCAATATTTTTTTATAAGCGCCGCTCTCGAATAAGCACCGCACTGACGCCTCAAAACATTCATAAGCGCCGCGGCGCTTTTTCGAGCATTTACGATAAGAAAATGTAAAACAGTCTTTTAGATTCCAAAAAAAAAAGAACCATGATCAACTGAACGATGTTGGTTCATTTCAGAATTTGTCTCCTAATTTAGCAATCAAATATCAAAGAAGCATCATTTAAAAGAACAATTAAATTTTTACAAATGTGATTATCATCAGCAGCATCCTTATCATCATCACCACCACTATCATCATTGTCATTATCCTCTTTATTATTATCTTTATTATCATTAGTAATGGTACCGTATTGTGAGGACCATTCACACCAACGTTATCATCATCACCATCATTATCATCCTAATAACAGGGGTGGCGGCAGCGGGGGTGGGGGCACACAATTCGTCGGGGAGAAAAAAAAATAGCCTATATGTATTTTCTACATATTAGTAGACTCTAAAATCGATTAAATAGCCTTTGAAACCCCAACATTGTTAAACTTTTCGGGGGCTTCGCCCCCTGGACCACTTTCGAAACCTTTTAATCGAAGCTTGACAACGCCCACATTGCTTTCGTCGGGGCAATCTGACACCTCGACGGGGGTATCGGCCCCTAGTCGGGGACCTCGGTCCCCCCGTTGGGCAAATCCTGGCGCCACCTCTGAATCATAATCGTCAACATCATCATTATTACCACCACCCTCAGTAAAGTTTTTGTAATTACCATCCACATTGACATGATGATCAGCGTCACTACCATCACCAACATAATTGGTATTCATATTATAACAAACAGTAATATGATATTAAACGCCGAATTATTTTGTTTATTATTCTGAATCTTAAGACATTTCTATTGTTGGGCCTATTGGTACTGGTACTGGTACTGATGGGCATTTATAATGCACCTCTTCCTTGCGATTATAAAGCGCAGTTCTTTTCCCTGGTCATTGGATCCACATGCTAAGTGTTGTTGCTGGTAATCAGCGTATACGAAGCTGGCAACCCCACCAGGCACCTATTTATACTCCTGGGTGGAGAGAAGCAATGCAGATAAAATGTCTTGCTTAAGGACATAAGCGAAATGCACAGAGAGTGATGGAAACCCCGACCACGATGTTCCCGCTGCGACAAACCGCATCTGGATTAAGCTTAGATGGAATTCTTTGATCAATAAACTTTATAACGATGATAATAATGATATTATATTTTTATATCTGTATGCAGTGTGTTAATCGCTTGTATCCAAACCTACTTATACATTTGCTAACATTTCTTGTTTGTTAACTTAAATATGTCTGCAATAGCTATTAAAGCATTTGACACGAAGGATTTATAGAGAGTAGCACTATACAATTTGGAACCCAGCCAATAAATTAGTATGACAACAATTGTAAGTTTTTCAAAGGAAGTACGACGGTATATTTATATAAACACAATACATCTATATAAAACCACGCAACCAGAAAAAAACTCGCACACGCAGTTAGAAAATTGGAATAGTATATTAGGCCTAAAAGTTATTTCCGTGTTAATTTTTGATGTTTGAATATTATGTGCTCCTTAAAAAAATCTTACAAGTCACCTAATTAAAATGTCTAGATATAACTTTTTCAATTTTTTAAAAGTAGATCACTGTGAAATTAGTTTTTTGATTGAACAGGTATACTTTTGTACAAACGATATATATTATGTATAAACGATATATAAAAATAAAATACCAACAAAGGTGGGTAGTGGCTAGTGTTAATGCTTGTGATTGTATATTATTGTTGTTATTGCTATCATTATTTTTCCTATTACGATACGATACGATAAAAAATGTACAGTATTGCAATTATTACTATGTAGGTCTAAATAAATTGAAGTTGAACAATTTCACACACATCAAAAAATCAGTCATCTAACAACAAAAAGACAACAGCAAAGCATTAAACATTAAAACAAAACATAAAAACAATGTCCGTCTGACTGCAGGGAGTGCTTTGAACCTTGAACAACCCGGTATTAATGATAAAGTTTTTTTATCTGTTTGTATTACATTTAGGTAGAGGAAATTCGTTGATTGTCTTCAAGTAATGATACGTGATGAAAGGAGTAAATAATATAATCTGTGATTGGATTTTTTAAATTTTTGGAAGTATTCCCTGCACAGTCGGGTACATCTGTCCTCCAACAGCAGAATATTTAGAATTAAAACGTGCCTCATCATAATTACACTATGGGAGAATTATGTGAAATGCCCTTTTATTTTCATTTATCTCAGGAAATAAAGTCTAGAGTTGGAGCCCAATGATGCCGTCCTTTCCAATGAGCTCATAGACGGTGGTGTCATCCATATATTTAATGCATGGTACCTCCGTCATGAGATCATCGGCAAAGACAATAACAAGTATGGGCCCCAACCACGAGCCTTGTGGAATGCTACCATTAACCACTCCAACAGCCCACTTTTACTCGAACTCCTTCCTAAGTGTCTCCTTATCCTTCCTCCGTTCTTCTGACCTTAATTTGCTCATTGTTCCAAGAGTTAACACCAAATCCTATGGCCACAGATCATTTTCATTTTCAGCTGCTACACTTTGGAACTCCCTCCCAAAACATACCGTACTCACTCGCGCGAATAAGCGCCCGGGCGCTTAAAATATTTTTTGCCCTTTTTGAAGGGCGCTTATTCAAACGGGGCGCTTATTAAAATAGATGAAAATCAAGGGGTTCTTAGGAGAACTTATTAAATTCAAGAGGCATATCTTGAATGAAAAACGATTATATAAGGACATCAGGAAACCGCAAATTACGAATGGTGGTGCGCGTGCGGCGGAAAAGGTAATCGTCCAGAGAGCATGTCTTGTGTGATGACAAGAATGTTGTGAATACAGCATTACATAACAGCAGAATAGCAGATGAAATTAGTGGTGGTGGTTAGCTTGTTAGCCATCTGCCGATTGAGATTAGCAGGATGGCATGATCATTGCAGGTTTCCTTGAAAACTCAGATGAGAATGTGTAAAAGGTGCAAATTGTCGGAAAAGGAGTAGGACTAGGGTATAGACAAATGCAAGAAGATGAAGGTTGGAAATATACTGTCTGTCCAGGGAGCTCTCATCTGTCCAAGATAAATATCCTCATCTTGATATTGACTAAAGGAGAATGTGATTCCACTCCACACCTCAAATCATGCCAACATTCACATTCCCAGGATTGATTCGATTATTGAGAGTTTGTTTCTTCAAATTAGAAGGGGCTCTTATTCAAACGGGGCGCTTAAGGAAATTTTTATTCGGCGCTTATTCGAGAGGGGCGCTTATTCAAACGGGCGCTTATTCGCGCGAGTACGGTGTTACCGACTCATCTTCAGTTGCCGCTTTTAAGACCGATCTCAAAACCCACCTTTTTAACATCTGGCATTATGGCACGTCTAGATGGCCGGAAATGGCATTCACAGACAGAATTAAAATTGTGTATATAAATAACGATTAAAGAGCCCCCCCCCCCTCTCTTTAATCGCTATAATATGATATATGACCTACAGTCGATTTCAGAGACACATTATGGTGTTATTCATCAACAAAGTCCTTTTTGGTCAGGGTGATCGAGGAACCTATGGGTAGGGCCCCGTCGGGGCTCCTAAAAGTCGGGGGCCCTGCGGACCGCCGCATGAGAACACATAGGCGTTACATCACTGCGCACCTCTTCCCTCTTATCAGTCGCGAGGAAACAGTCATTTAAGAACTTTACAAGAGCGTCAATTGTTGACAATCCCTTGCTACATCCAAATTGAATAACATTAATTTTATTACTAATTTGATCTCATAATTTTTCACCAATTAAACTCTCAAAAACTTTCATTTTATTTGATATAAGAGAGATAGGACGAATATCATTCTCAGTAGATTTAGCTGGATTTGCTTTCGGGATAGGCAGAAAATTTGCACATTTCCAAATATCCGGAATATACCCCTCTCTAATACTTGAATTAAAAATAGAACATGAGGATCCTGAAATTACATTGGCATTATCTTTCAGAATTCATGGAGGACCATATCCGGCCAGGAGCCTTATTAAATTTTAGCTGTTTGAGTTTGCACTCAACAGCTTCCTGCTATATCAAATCAAATCGAAAGGGACAAATTCATTTCACACGTTGTTATCCTTAACCAATGGCAACAGCATTTTAAATAGTGAAGTAAGTGAAATAAAAAAGTCATTACTAGTGAGAACATTCAGATTCCCCCTGGCACACCCCATTATCAAGAGGTTTGTGATCCAATTAATGGAGCCCCCAAGTATTAAAAACTTTTTTATGCTACTCCACCAAGTTCTACTATCGGACCTAAAAATGTTACCAATCTTTTTATTATAATGCTCTTTATGCAATAATTTAGCTCTTCGGTTAACTTGGTTCCTAAATTTATGGTATTCGACAGAATTTCTGTTTTTGGAAAAAGTGGCTTAGCGTTTAGAAATCAATTTCTTGAAAATAATAATAATAATAATAATAATAATAATAATAATAACAATAACAATAACAATAATAATAATAATAATAATAATAATAATAATAATAATAATAATAATAATAATTATTATTATTATTATTTAATATTATTATTATTGTTATTGTTGTTACCATCATTATGCTGTTCGCTGTCATAGCCATTGAAATTGCAAATTTCATACCAAGATAATTTGATTGTCACTGTTAATGGTTGTAGATGGTGTTGTAGTCGTTATATGGGGTTTTTATGATCTTCACCTTTAATTTACAAATTTGAACTACAGTATATTGCATATGGAGCGGGGCTTACAATGGAGGTGTGAATTCTAAATTTGTACCCCCCTAATTAATTTGCTAAAAAGGAAACTAAGCGAATAAGAATGTAATAAAGCATTTACAAAAAAGCACGTGCAATTTTGCATAGGGCTTATATTATTCACATTAGACTTTTAATATCTGTGGATTGAGGATTATTTTGACAACTAAGATGACTAGCGCCCCTATACGCGTTCAGGCAAAAGAAATAATTCGTATTTCCTTGTATTTTTTTTCATTTTGCTTACAGGCTGGACAGGTTTTAAATATGTTTCTTTATATCTGTTTAATACTACAAGGGTTTCTTTCAATCGTTTACAGTGAAGGTATTCGTTTTAGTTTTTTTTAAATTGATCTACTAAGTTAATTTCTAAGAATGTATCTTATTTAATAGAATAATGGATGATAGATTATTCAAATTGCCGTTACAAGTTTGAACAGTAAACCTCATTGGGGTGTGTTTCGTGTACTATCGCTACACAGACAATGAACGTGAAGTCGTGATAAGGCATTCAGTATAATCGTTGGCATAATATATCAAAACACCATCAGCATTTTAAAATATTTTATGAATTTACTTCATATTTATACTGAGAACATATACGAATCAAGATCAGCATTTTTAAATACTCTATTTATTAACTACAAAGCACCATTTACATGGGCAAATAATAGTCAATACTTGTGGAAGAAGAATGCCTAATATTAATACAGTACTGAGATGTTTAGAAATTCTGCCTCCGACAATTGCCGGTATAGAATATAAAAGAAAAGTAAGATAATGTATGTTGTAAGTGGATCTTGTGATGTGCTATCAAATAATTATATTTTCTAATTGCCATCATTGTTTACGTGATGCTATTATTTGAATAAATAATTTATATAAATTTTTGTTCTCGACTTTGATTCGCAATAACGAAGGAAAATTTTGTAATTTTACCATGTATTTTTGCGACAATAAGATACTTGTATCTCTATCTGTATTATATTTATAGTGCAGAACATTATACAGTAGACCTACTGGTACTATTTTTAGGCGTTTTGTTTTACATTCGACAGGAATTGCTTTGGCAAATCACACACGGTATTTGCTCTTAGTAATTAAGAAGCTTAAATTGTTTTATTGGTATAATACTATTTAAGTAGTATATGAATAAGAATACCCACAATTTACTTTGTTTGACTATTCTGACAGGGATTAACTAAATATTAATTAATATAGGCCTACTTAACGTAGGACTATTCTTGTTTTAATGCAGCCTGTGCCGAATTTTTTTGGGGGTCGTCACACTATCAAGCTACATTTGTGGAAGCAGACCACTATTCAGAATTCAAAAGCTGGAACGAAGTTACGTGTCAGCAAACGGGCTATCAACTTGTGAGCATTACGACTTTAGATGAAAACAATGTAATCCTCAACTTATTGGAAAACTGTACTCACGGAGACTACGCCATCGGATTATCACGTCAGATGGGAAAGCCGAAAGGCAGTGCCAGCAGTTGGAACTGGGAATCTGGTGAGACTGTGAACCTGTTAAACTGGGGTAATAATGAACCAAACCTTCAAAACAGTAAGTCCGCAGGAGTGTACATGACGACTCTGGAATCCTATGTACCTGGCAAATGGTACGACTTTGAGAATACCGAGCGAATAGGGTTAAATACTGATAGTCCTGGATATGGATATATTTGTGAAAAATCAATGATAAGTAAGTGACTGTAATAGATCAACACCTTAACTTCTGAAATACATAATGTGTACAAGTAGTTACAAAGTGTTTTAGGCTATTGGCTTTAATATATTATATGGTAGACTTTAAATTACATCGTTCAATTAAGCAGACGTGATGTGACACTAGTAAATGGAATTGTTTTTGGTTGTCACAAACATCCTTTTTTTTCTTGTCTTATATACATTCTTAATTTGTTAGTTATTTTTTTATATTTTTAAATAAATATAATAAATGTATTTAAACAAATAATTTGGTTTGCTTTTTTAAAAGTTGCTTTAATAACAGACACAAGGCTTTTAGTAAATTACAGAATAGAACTATTGTTGCTATACTCAATGAATTGATTCTTAAAAAATAACTCTTTGTCATTTACTATTTTTCCACGTTTAACAAAGGGGTGTTTCCTCAGGCACTGTAACACCCCCTGGTTACGCCACATACTAATGAGTTAGGTTGTTTCAGTTATGAAAAGAATTGTAAAGAATGTTATGAAGGATGTCATGTTGTAATTGGTGGTCAATATTTTTTGGTTATTTCAGAGATTTAAGATTTGTAGTACGGTACAAAGTCTATTCTTCTTTTAATGTAGCCTACGTAGGCGTTTAATTTTTAGGTCATCACATATACAGCTACAAATGTGACAGCAGACCATATAATGA